TGCATTATGTATGTTTTACCACAATTTTTAAAAAATTAATCATCTGAAACTTTCTTTTAGATGATTTAAATGCTGGAATATTTACCAATATAGAATCATGCTGTGGATCGGTAATAGAGAGGGAAATTATAAACTGTTCATCTCCTGAGATTCCTGCAGAATTTAATGAACAGTTTAACACTAGGAAGAACAAGCAAGAACTAGTAAGTCATGATAACGGAGCCAACTTAGAAAAAGAAAACAGTTATAATGACCAGTGTAATCAGTTCACAAGAACAGAGAAACAAACAAAACATATGAAGAAGTGTCCTAAAAGGCCTGATTGGAATATAAATAAACCACTGAGACGGTATATTCCAGCATCAGAAAAGTACCCTAAACAGCTTCAAAAGCTGAGAGAAGAAAAAAGAGTAAGAAGGCAGATGGAACTGCTTCATTTGGTAGAAAGAAATAATCCTGGACACCTCTCTCAAAATAGAGTCACTTCACCAGATGTTCTTCATTCATCTCAAGAAACTGAACCAAGTTTCAGGTGGCAGCTAGTCAAAAAGGTAAAGCTCTTCTGTCTAGAAAAATATTTTAAAGCATGTATCGAAGTTTTTAGAATGAGAATACAGTTCCACACATGCATGTTTTGACAGGGCTATTCTGGGTGTGAATAAGAGTTCTAGAAATTTGCTGTAGTTTACAGCAGGGGTCAACAAACTATGGCCAATGGGCAAATCCATCGTGCTGCCTGCTTTTGCAAATAAAGTTTTTAGCAATACAGCCATGCTCATTTTTTTTTTAACCTATTGTCTGTGGCTGGCTTCATGCTGCAAGAAGAGTTTAGAGTAGTTGCAACAGAGACCACATGGCTCACAAAGCCAAGTGTTTACTATGTCCTTTACAGAAAAAGTTTACACTTAAACCCTGTATAGATTAATGCTATTCTTTATTCAGATACCCATTCAAAACTCTTGTTTATAGTCCATATAGACAGGATAATTTACAAGGTCAGGAATTACTGGATTGGTTTCTCTGACTCTGGAGAAGTACCAAGCCTCTCCTATCCTATTATCCAGTATGTGTTACTCAAATATTATCCTCAGATTATTTCAACAACCACTAAAAACATTTGTGGGGACGTATGGAAACACTGTTAACTCCTGTCTCTCCTGTCTATCATTTAGGAAGAAGAACCTCAGATAATTAATTCTTTCAACAAGGAAAGGTATGTTATGGATTCCGTAGCTACTTAGTGCTTTCTGTGTGATATAAAATACTTGCTCAAAATATAGGTGAGATCAAGCATGTATGCATGTCTGTGAAGACAGTAACAGGAAAGTTTGTGACTTCAGGTGAATAGAGGTTTAAGGGAAAGGGTGTCTGGCATTTTACCTAGAATTTGAAGGTCCAAATTGGACTGGACCTAGGCATCCTAAGCAGGAATGTGGGTGATATTTTGTTATCTTCAGACTTTAACAGTTTTGATTTTCCAGATATGCCAGCAGTGGAATAGACGTTCTGCTTGGATTGAGGGGGTAGGGAATAAATGACTGGTAGGGATAATGAGAAATTAACCAGTGGGAGATTTTAAATTGTTAGAATTTTTATTCTCTACTTTTGTGCACAAACCAGCTGGTTTAAGCTGTCTCTGAATATGGCTCTAATAGCAAGTTTAGTTTTAGGCGGTAAGTATATTATTTTATAGTGAATTATCTAAGGAGAAACATTAGGTTTAAATTAACTCAGGTAGTGTTGATCCTCAGAAGCTAGTAAATTTCTCCCTGTTCTAGCATATATATAATCCTCAGCAAGTACTAGTAAACCCCAAATTAATCCCATTTTGTTGCCCTGTTTTAGGAAATGGTATCATAGAACTCAAGCCTCTTACATATAGTGTTCCTAAAGGTGTTATAGGTACATTTAGAATAAATTGAAATGTGATTGAAGAATAGAATATGCTTAATCTAAAATAAAATACAGTTTCTCATTCATGCTTTTTAAGAAGTCCCTTATTGTGCTTTTTGGAAAAATACAGGTCTCAATCACCACCAGTTCTGGCAGTGAAAAACAGAACGCAGCAAACTCAGACACTAAAAAACAGTACTTATGAAAGAGAGGATCTGATCTCAGGAGACAGTCAAACAGAATTATCACCTGGGTTTTCTGAACCATTTCATTTTATTCCCTATGTCCGAACCAATGAGATCTATTACCTTGATCCAGATGCACCATTGTCTAGGCCTTTAACCCAGGATCCTCAGTACCAAAATCTACATGGTAAGTAAATATAAGTGTACCCCCCCCCAATTAAAAATCCAAATTGCCCCAAGAGAGGTAGAAAAAAATTTCTCTTTTGGAGTCAATTATTAAAATTTTTATTGAATATTTATTACTTAAATTCTACTTGGTGCTTTCCTAGGATATAAATTTATTAATGAATCCATAGAATGTTATAGCATAGGGCTATTTCATATTATAAGTGTATTTGAATTTTTGTCATTTTTATCTGGCTTCAGACTGTGACCAAGAACAGCTTTTTGACCATCTCAGGGACCCACTTCCTAATCCTAACTTGGTGAAAAACAGGGATCGACAGCAAGCAATCCTTAAGGGACTGTCAGAACTGAGACAGGTATGAGCTCTTCCAAAGTTTGGATGTGACCATTTTCTGGTGGAGGGCTGTGTTTTACCAGTTTTACTAAACATCGTTGGTTACACGACTTATGTGACTTCACCACATGTCAGTTTAATGTACAGGTGCTGATTCTTTTTAAAAAAACACAACTTTCTTTCTATTTCTTTCACATTGCCATCTCTAAGACTGTTTCTTTCCAGCATGAAATCATGAGACATTTTGAATATTAAGACAACTTTATTTAATGAAAAAAGGCATACATTTGAAATGGCAAAGCATGATCAATAAGGCCCTAAAACCAAAGGCAGAAAATAAATACAGTTATGCTTTAATTCTTAGTAATGCAGTTCACATTTTTTTAAATGAACGTGTTGGCCGTGTTTGGAATAGAACTTGACACAAGTCCCGAAGAGTAATATAATGTGAAATTACAGGTATAATCTTACCAGACTACTTTTTCTCCCAGACCAATTTTGACTCATTATCTGCTCAGATAAAAATAAAATCAGGTAACACATCCAATATTTAAGGCTATAACTGTTCTCTACCAGCTGGCCTTAAAAAACAAAAAAACACCTGTCCCTGTGCTTAAAAAAAGAAAAAGACTTGCAAAACTGGTTTTGCGATTAGCTTTGATTCACAGTATACTTCGTGTATTTGGGGAAAATAAACTGTAGTTTTAGGATTACCCTTTTCCATGTCCAGTCATTTATGAATGCCTCCTGCATTTCAAATTGTTGATCTATAGGACTAGAAAATCACCCCCACTAACCCAGGATTATAAAGTGTCCCTTAGTTTTTTAAATGCTGTAGCTTTGGTTACATGTGGATTGAATTTTGTAACTCAAGCTTGGTAATTCACACAGTGAAGATTTTACTTAAACCTCTTTTTAAAGTGACAAGGTATATTCTAGCTTAGTAGAGACAGAAGTTGTAGCTTAAGAGAAAGGAATGTGATGTATACACCTTAGTGACCATATCTTACTTCAGCAGGGCCTTGTACTAACTAGCCACTAAGGTTAATGCAGTCAAGATAAACACTGGATGGTTAAAGGGAGACTTATGACCATTTTAAGAGCATTTAGGGAAAAGGAAAGAGGTGGTGTTCAGCCCCACAGTTAGGAGACATGGTTTTAAGAAAGGTCATTTCTATTGGTTGTATGGCTAAAAATATAATCTTACAAATGTGTGATAGCTGCACAGTATCCAAGTGAGAAAGTCTGGTGTAAAAATTGAAAATTCTTGAGTTGAACATGACAAAGTAACTGAGCGTAATACGTGTTTTCAAAGTAAATATAGTTCTGTATTAACAAGAGAGAAAGGTAAAATAGGAATAATTTGCCCGTCTGCTGCACACCGTACTAACATATCAATACGATTTCAGGGCCTTCTCCAGAAGCAAAGAGAGTTGGAAACTAATCTCATGCCTTTAGCTGCAAATCAAGAAGAGAATTTTAGTTCTTCGTTTTAAATGTAGAAAATCAAATCCTTTACATTTGATTTGTCTTCCAAATTATGAAATGTGAGATTGGTTGTTGCGTAACTGTATTTATCAAATAGCCTAGATTTCTTTTTAAAATGCTTATTTAAAACTTGTACATTATGTAGTAAAGTGTGTGTGTATATATATTTTTTAAAAAACAATAAAACAAGACACTTGTAAAAAAGTAGTAAAAAAAAAAAAAAATTTTTTTCTGCTCATCACAATGTGGGTATTGAGGTATTGATCTACTTACCTTAACACAGTCTGGAGTTTACAGTGTTCTTCCACACTTTTTACATGTAGCTTATTAAAATATCACTTAGATATTTTGCTCTATAAAAAGATTTTAAAGAGTAGAACTCAAAGTTCTTTGGAGGTGCCAAAGGAAGGTCTGACATACTTACTTTTACTAAAATAGCCCAGATTCAGTTTAGGCTTACATGGAAATTTTTTTAAGTCCTTTTTTTAATGACTTCTTTTATTGTAGAAACTACAGTTTTCAAAAACATTTACAAGTTTGTATTAGTAATGGAGAGGCAGTTATTAGCAACAATACATGTGGATTTAAAATTTATCTTCACCATGTACTTTTATCTGTGAATTTAAAAAGTTAGCTTTAGTATATAGCACTTAAGTGCTTACCACCTGAAAAATATACTTACATTTTTCTAACAATTTTAAAATCTACAGCAAAGTTTATTTCAAATTGTTTAATGCCTTTAATAACCAAATTCAGTTTCATATTTCAAAAGATAAGATAGGTTTTTGTTTAAGGACCACACAAGCACTGAAAATTGTAATTATCAAATATTCTCAAAGGTTGACCAAAATTTTAGCAACAGGTGATTTTACATGGTTGTCTAAAAATAAAAAATAATGCTGCCTGGTGTTAAGTCCTATATGGTACATAGTTTTATCATCTAAATGAAATGGCTTTGTTCAATAAATCTTGAGGTATTGAGCCAAAATCGTGTAAATATTAACATCACTGGCTTATACCTGTGTAAAAGCACTATACAAAAAGCTTAAAATAAATGCATTAGTTGATATTTCAGCAAAAGTAGCAAATGCATCAGTTGATATATCATTTCAGCAAAAGTAGCTGGGATCATTGACATTAGAGGAGGGGAAAAAATGTAAAGCCATTGTTCACTATCCTTTTGCAACTATCTAGTTTTACATATAAAACAGGCTTCAATTTGAAGCCAAAGTACAGATGACATAAGTGTAAAACTTAAAAGTGCCAATATGAGATAATTCAAGTACAATATGTTAAAAATATATATTTATTTCAATTTTCAGATGCTTCAACTGTTACAGGCCATCATGATTTAAATAAGAGGAAAAAAACATTTGCGAAAGGAAAAGAAACCTTTTGTTTAGAGAATGAAATATAAATTGTGAATTCACTTTTAAGAAACAGAAAAAGTCCATAACAACCTACTTAAAAAAAAAAAAGTTACTGTAATTATTTCTCTTTTGAAAACGGCCTGGAAGTATCACTTTTCCACCAACTTAATGGAGATTTCTCTCTATCCAAGTTTTGAGTATAAGCAGATAAAAAGTAATTTTCACTTTCTTCAGACTGACTTGATGAAAGGGCATATGGTGTCCCCAAAAATGTCTGATGAGTGAGAACATTAAAATGACTAAACTGATGGGACATATTTAATTGACTGTGATAAACCTGAAAGTTGCTATATGAATCCTGTTCAGCTGAATTACTGTTCTCTCCTTCAGAGCATACTATATCAATAGAAGCTCTCTCTTCAGAATCAATTTCATAAGTCTTCTCTTCTAATAAACTTTTTTGCAAGTCAAGAGACGATTGCAACTCAATTTGAATATTCTTTTTTTGATCTGTTCCACGTGATCCTTTGGTCTCTTTCTCCAACATTTCTGAATGAAAATTGCTGCATACTTCTATTTTTGAGATTTCATCCCCTGAATCCAGAGACATATCCTCTTCGTCCTTTTCATCGTTTTCTAAAAGAGCTACATTTAAAAAACAAAAAGTCCTCCTCTATTGAAATACACAATTTGTTTAAGTTTTAAAATTATACACTACTCACACAATATAATGCGTCAGGGTCTGCAAGTCCACAATCCCTTAAAGCTTGGTCTTCTGCCACAAGTTCACTTAGTCACAACACTCACACTAGGTGTGAATGTCCAGATAATCCGATGCTAAAAGCTTCTGCGAAATGTGTTCACGTTTAATGTTGGGAAATCCCAACTCCCAGCTCCAAAGGGGTTAATGTCAAAACAGCATCTAAAGTTATACGGTAATTCAGTATTCGACAAGACAAATATAAAATAAAAATTCTGACATCTAGCTTCACTGGGTTACTACTAAACTGGTTAGCTGTATCAAATGTTCGAACATCTCTGCTTTTCCTCAAAAACAAAAGTACATCTTTCATTTTACATAAAACCTGGAACCAAAGCAAAGGCCATCTCACAAAAGACTAAAGCTATGGATATCTCTATTACCTTGTAATTAAACTGCTTTAATTCACAACAGAAGCCAATAAAGCTTATATACCCTCAAAAAGAAAATGCCTACTCTATAGTATGCAGTCTACATTAACTCAAACAGCTTATACTGACTATAGTATAATAAATGAGCAGATTTTGTGTATGCTAAGTAAAAGAATGATAAATGCCTTGAAACACTTCCCCTGAAGCTGAGTTTACACTGAGGTGAGCAGTTTCAAAATTAGCATTTCATTATATGAAATCAAAGCAAAACCATTCTTTTTCTGTCTGCCTTAAAGAAAATGAAAACTACTGAAAAGTTACCTGACTGTGACTCAAGATTCTCATTAGCACCAAGCAAAGGAAGGTTTTCTTCTGTGATTGAGTTGTGATAGCCCACAAGATTTTTAAAGTTTTGCATAAAGTCTTCAGCAGTCGCAACCACTATTCCATTATCGGTATAACTGGAAAGCATCTTGATACTCTTTTCTAAATTGAAAAAAAAAAGAAGTTGAGTATAAAACACTTGCAAATATAAAATGATAATGCCTGCGTCCAGCCCTCCAAAATCCTTTCCTCCACATTTTCAGAAACACCCAACACAGCCCCACAAAATCCTTTCATACACATTCCTGTATTCACAGTAGAAAGCTTAAGAGCACTCTCGTTACCTGTTAAAAAGACTATGTGTCGTTGCTGTATGTTTTGAGCCTGAAGTCTGATAAGGCAATCCAATTCTGGAGCATTTCGAGTTTGTGAATCACAGTTGTGGTATGACAAAATTTCAACCAGATGTTTCTTCTGATAGACATTCAGAAGGGTCAAGAGACTCAGAGCTTTAGCATTCAATCTGTGAAATTAAGTAGTTCAGTATCTGTATCTGCATTTCTAAAATTTAGTATGGACGTTTTCACTTGAAATTAAAGCCATAATTTCTCAATTGAGGCAACTAACGACAACTGCACTGCTTAGCTCACTGCCTGATGTACAGGTGCTTCTTAGTAGAGGGAAAGCAGGAATTGTGCAATCCACTGGTAACTCCAGGGGCTTTCTCTCGGTACAAAGCCTGAGGGCCAGCTATTCAGTTCAGACAAAAATCTCAACTTATTACTTACTAAATAAATTACACTTCTCTTCAGCTTCACTAATTTAGAACTATAATGAAGGGTGTAAAAGGACAAAAAAATATAAATCTTTCCTTCAGAAAATAACATGGCTCTGAGCTATTTCTATACTTCCAGATGCAAGGCAACATGTGGTAGAAATTACGGGCTATTGTCAGGAAGATGACGGTACTAATTTGTACAAGTTATACCTCCGGGCCTCAGTATTGCTATCTGTTATATAAAAATAAGACTTCCCCAATGCTTACTTCACATGATTTGAAGATAAAACAAGTTTTTAAAAAATGAAATAAAAAGTTAAATAATTTAAAATTACTAAAGCCTGAATTTCCCTAAGTGTGTCCAATGGAATATCAATAGGTATTAGAAGAAAAAAATGTTTTGTGGTCTAGGTTTCAGAAATGCTGACTGACAAAATGTAAAACAGGATCCTTAACTACAAAGTTTCTCAGATCTTCAAATGTGTAAATAAGTACATTATATGGACTCTAGTAGTAGGATATAGTATCCCAAACTCATGTGATTACAACAGTCATTTGCAGAGCCTCTCAAGGGACTAGTGCTCCAAGAATCACGTTTTGAGAAGTGACTTCTGGGCATGTTAGAAATCACTTACTACAGAAATGAATGTCCTAATCATAGATCCCTTTATCATGTCAAGATTAATCCTTGTCTCATATGTGTAATATTATTAGATTAACAATTAGGAGAGGGCCTGTTCTACTTGGCATGTACAGTTCCATAAAAAAATAAAGAATGCTGATTATCCCGTTTTGATTATTATTCTAAACCCAAGTGGTAAAGTTTAAGCCAATTTTATCTCTGTACATAACTAGAACTTCAACAAACCTCTACATAAACAATATCATTTTCAAACAGGCTAGAATAATTCAGCATCTACATTCCCTTACGGCTGGCAAAAGACATCTGTGAAAACTGAGCAGCATCTATAATTTACAAACATAAAAAATAGCAAAATTCTGTGAACACAATGTTAAAATCAACAACCAATATATAGTTATTTTTCAAACCTTACCTGCCCAGTTCCTTTAGTTTTTTCTGAAATTTACAGTGGACTTTCCATTGCCATTTTCCTTCTGGAGTACTAAGTTCTTCGAGGAATGTCAAAAAATTTTTAAGGTTCTCTGTTAGAGATAATGAAGTTCATTTTAAATTCAATAAACAAGTCACCCACTCCACAACTGAATTAAGGAAGAAGTGTTTGTTGATATCATGTAGAACACATACTTTCCTATGTAGTATTTTCTTTCTCTTTTTTCTCCTCTAAGGGAGACAGATCTATACATCCTCTTTGAGATCTAAGAACATAACATCTACACACAAAAAAACAACATGTTGATAACAATAACAAACCAAAAGTAATCCAAGGGAAGTAGGTACAGAGAGCCCTGCTTTATACCAGACTTAAGAGGAAATTATTCGTAAAGAGTAAAAGAATGGGAAAGAAATCTGAGATAATAAAAGCTCAAAAAATGATGGAAATGTACTAGTTATCTGCAACTGGCAGAATGGACAATGCATTAAAGTATGAGTGAGTCACTAATGAGAAAAACCTAGAAAAGACATAAGTTACATGCTTAAAAGAATAAATAAATCTTACCAATTGTGATTACTTCTGGATTTAGAATGGATTCATCAGAAACGATAAAACCTCCAGATACAAATAACTCATTGTATGTATGATTTTTAACATCATCCAAACTATCAACACCAGCAAAACTAACACAAGGAAGCTTCTTTAAAGTCACCAAGCCAGGTACCTATTTAAATACCAAAATAAAAATAGAAATAAGGACAGACAGACTCAAGTGTGAAGTAACCTACATTAGATGTACTATGGCTCACCTATATTAGTGTGTTGTCTCTGCAAAGTCAAGCACAAAAACAATATTTCCAACATTATTTCTAAATATACAAACCAACATTTATGTACTGGGCATCTACCTTGAACAGAACTCTCTAAGGAAGAGGCACTTAACAAGAGACCTGGAAACACAGAATGACAAATGCTAACTTGCCTGGCCCTGTGAGTACAGTCCGAATTCAAATGAGGCAGCAGCCTACGGACTGAAACAGTCAGGAAAGACTTCAAAGAGCAGTAGGACTTGAGACAGTCTCCTAAGACTAGACGGGGTACCTCCAAACCCAAGGGAAAGGGGGACTGCTTCAGCAAAGAGGGGGTACAGACAGGTTTTACCTAGGACATACAAATAAAGGTGATAACAATATAAAGAGAGTCAGCAGACCCAATGGCATTCAAGGAGTCAGTATTCTTAGTCTTGACCATTTAAGCGATAGGTAAGATCTGTGATATGCCACAATTTAAAATTTTGTAGAGGTATAAATATGAATCTCATGAGCTGATTCACAGAGGGTAGTTTAGGTCTCAAGTCCTAAACCTCCCAACCTCAAAGTTTTATCTCCTTTAAAGCTTATGAGGATATTTTAAAAACAAACAGCTTTAGTCTCAAAGATAGTAGGGATTTTTTACAACCAAAATAAGCAAAGAATTCAGCTTAATAGTCTACCTTGTGAATGAAACCTGCAATGTCTTCATTTTGAATAATAATCAATAGTTTATCTAATTTTGATCTTCTTTCCAAAAACTGTTCTGGATGACACTCTGTATTGCCTAATTTGATAAGATATTCCTGTTAAAGAAAAAAAACTAAATCAACATTTAAAAGCTTTTTTGCAAACATCCATTTAACACGAGAAATGCAAGATAAAGTAGTTAAGTTTAACTACTACTAGACCACTAATAATGATGCCCTTACACTAGGGACCTCAGAGATCAAGTCCACTCTTAGAGAAGACTCTGAAGCTCAGACCTTAACTGGTCACAATCACAATGTTACGACACTATGCAGTCAAAGCCAAGTAAACGCTAGCTTGGGGTAACAGAACCAGAAAAGCAATGGATTAGCCCAGGTTCTTAACTCTTATTACTTATTCTGGGCAATCCAGAGCTCAGTCATTAACCACTCTCTCACTCCCATTTTCCTTTCCTTTTGAAGCAGGCCCTTGATTCTCTGCAGCAGTGTTACCGGTATACTCCTTCAGAGTTAAAAAGCACTTTTATGACTACTGTAGTTCCTTTAACTCACAACAGCCCCAGGATCATTCATACAGAGCTTCAGTATGTACAACGTTACTTACATATTAATTAGCCATGCCTGTCAAGTTTACATCTTCAAACAAAACACTCTCCCATCTAACACATCCTTCCATGCTGCGGACACGGTACTACCTTTCAAAGGACACAAGAGAGCCAGTCCCAGCAGAATTCTCTTTGCTTGCTGGGGGAATCCTGAACTCTGAAGCAAACTGCAGGATTCTGAAGGTCACATTCCTCATTTCACAGATACAGGAGCAGATTAATTTTCTCAAGGTTGGCACGCTGGTTAGATAACCATAAATCTAAACCAAGGTTGCCTCACAATCAGTCTTTCAAGAGCTGTCTACAAGTGTCACACCCAAGGAGGATACTTCTATGTAGCCCTAAAGAAGCATCTTCTACAGTGTTTGATTTTGCTCTAACTTCTAAAGCCTCTGGGCAAATCTCAGAGCAGTTTACAATCAGGTTATGAAAAAGTAAATTATTGTCTGATAGGCCTGCTTGTAATTTTTGGTCTTTTTACATTAAGAAATTTTAAATGCAAGTTTGTGTTAAATAAGACACTTTAACTCATAAAGTAACAAATCAATTTGACTCCAGAAATATTTAGGAAGTTTAAAATTTTATTCATAAAGTCCTGTACTATACTGTAACATTTCTGCTAGAAAATTTCCAATGGATATTGAATAAAAGAATTAAAAGTGCTGATCTGATTTCCTATCATATTTATAAAACACACAGCATCCTTTTCTTCTTCTACATAAAATAAATAGCAGAAATATGATTTATTCTAAGCCAGAATGGATTAAAAGCACCATTCGTAAGTAAACACATTTCCCACAAGTGTGTTACAATCAATTTCTAAAATGCAATGGGAGGAGATGGAGTAATGGTGAGCACACTGGGAACTGTGCCCAACCCACTCTCTCATCTAGCCCTACACCACCATGTAGCTATGCCCCAAAGAGCTGGAAACGTGTTGCTGGGGGTGGAAGAATGTTGAGAAGCTCAATGTTCAATCATACAGGGCAAAAATGCAACCAAAAAATTCCTGGTAAGTCTGGTTTCATCTTCCCAAGAAACTACAGGGAATTGGTAAAGGCAGCACACTGAGCACTCTGTTGCCCCCATTTCCATGCTCTTCACATTCTCATCAACACATCACATGAAACATGCTGACGTCAAAGAGATCCTCAAACTGACAAAAGGCTGAGGACATGTCAAAGCATGGAGTTTCTGGGCCACTCTGGCTATACGCCACTTATTTATAGTCCCCTCTGCTTCCTCTAACTAAAAAAGCAGAAACTTATCATGGTAAGTAAATTCCATAAATAGGAGCAGGCATTTATTTTAAAAACTAGGGCATTCCCGGGCTTCCCTGGTGGCGCAGTGGTTGAGAGAGTCCGCCTGCCGATGCAGGGGACGCGGGTTTCTGCCCCGGTCCGGGAAGATCCCACATGCCGCGGAGCGGCTAGGCCCGTGAGCCATGGCCGCTGGCCCTGCACGTCCGGAGCCTGTGCTCCACAACGGGAGAGGCCACAACAGTGAGAAGCCTGCATACCGCAAAAAAAAAACCACAAAACAAAACAAAAAAAACCAAGGCATTCCCTTAAGGAATTAAAATGCTATACAGTTTAGTGAATACTAATTGGCAACATTAAACCACTAATTGTCCCATGTGTTATAAATTACACATCTATTGTTACAGATTTTACATACCTCTCTCTATGTGTGTATTTTTTTAAACCAAATGCCTGAAACGCCAGTCTACTCCATAGCTTCAGTACAAAACACATACCTTGCAAGGAGGAATCTTTCATGACTGGGGAAGTGTTTCAGGATCACCATGTTTTTTGATAATAAGGGCTATTGGGAAACCTGGCATGACCAGGGCATCAAGAAATGCCAAAAGATATCATCATTAGGTCATCCTGGACAGTTTTATTTTTCTACCTGATTGATAAAACCCCCTGAGGTAAACACTGACAACTTCATTTCTCTGCATCTTTCCCCCCGCTTTGTTAAAAACCCAGTAAGAAACATTGAAAATCTTTAAATCAACAATTTAAAGGTATCTGCAATATGTATACAACTGGTCTTTAAAATGACACTATGCAAAACAAGATTAAAAATTCTAAGACATTTAGATCACCAGTTGAAATTCAGTTGAAACTTACTAGTCTTTTATTCCACTCTGCATCAAATTATGAAAATAATATGGTCAACACCTAAAAACAAAAATCCATTTTATAGAGCTCAGACCCAACAAGAGAAGTTTAGACAGCATTACAATTACCTTCTCATTTAGTTACCTTTATTTCTTTACAGAGCACACTCTCCTCTTCTTCATGAATATAAAATTTCACAGTATTTTTCTGGACATCTTTCATGATTTTAACCAAACTGTTAAATACTTCAGGTTCTAACTGGCTTATAAAGTTTGAAAGAGCTGGTTGGGCAGAAATGTTTACATCACTGGGCGATTTTGTTTCTTTTTCTACTGGTTCCCGGGCAGTATGATCAGAAGTCATCACTGGCTCTGTGGCATGGTGTGGCTGGTTCACTTCTGCTTCAGTTAAACCCGAAGCCGAAGAGGAAGGCTGCTCATTAGAGTTGGTGTCTTTCAGAGGATCACTACCAAGTGGCTCAAGGAGGTGTTTATTGTTGAAGTCGCTTGAGGAAACTGGTATGACATGCCTTCCCAGAGGGCTCAATGCTATCTTAGTACTAGAATCATTAGGACTGACTGCTGGCAAATTCCCACCCTTGGCTGATGCTTTGATAACAGTATTTAGTTTCTCATGCAAGCCATCTACAAACTCCTGTACAGCAGCTTTGGAAGTCTTAGAATATATGAACTCAGAAAGCCGTTTCATCTTCTCTTGTGTTGAAAAGGTAGGTGTGGAAATTCTGCTGACATATGAAACATTCTTCTGCTTCAGAATCTCTTCTATCTTCCTAGAAAAGAGGCTGTACTCTCCTAACACTGTCCTTTCTGTGGTTTCACTCATTGCAGGCGGTTCTGCTGCTGGCACACACTGCTCCTCCACTGTCACCACCTGACCTGTCAACACGTCATCCTCAGTGGTGCCCTTTAGTGTGTCTGTAAATGGAGAGGATGGAAACTGATAATCAGAACTTCTCTGTCTACTTATTACCCGGGGGTCGTTAGGAAAGGCCTCCTGTGGTGGCAGACACACCAGTTGTTCTTCTGGTGATTTCATACCTATATGGGAAGAGTTTATTATTACAAAAGCAATCCAAAATAATAACATCTGAAAATACAAACTAACAAAGAAAAAAAATGCCAGGTCAAGTATATATTTAGAACAAACTATGCACTGGAAGGTAGAATAAAAACCTCAGATAATGGTGTGAACCTATTTCCTATGTGCCCTACTTATTTATGGCTGGTCTTTGTATTTCAGTAGCTAGAGTGGCAAGTCTGAATGTTACTTTCTTTGATTCCTTTTGAAGTATTCAAACAAGGGCCAATTTAACATCAATACAAATTAAGTCACTTGTTTATTTCTGCTTCCCTACCTTTCTGCAGATCTGACTTTAACAGACATGCTTTAAGCAGAATAGTCAGTTTCAACAGCTTGCTCAACCCCTATATTCTTTGCCAAGTAATGTCCACTAAGGTAATACCCCCTTAATAGGAAAATTTTGAGTGTAAGGCAGCTGAAAGAATGCCAAGCTGAAATGCTGTGGGAATAAGTCATCAAGTTAAGAGTTGCATTCAGGATCTAGGATAATTAATTTTATCTGTTTTCAGATTTGCTCTTACATATGGGGTTGCTTAGTGGATTTGCTACAATGTTAGGGACTTCAATTTATCAGGAAAAGAAAGTCTCAGTCATATAGGAAGAGAACACAATTTCATAGCTGCATTAACAGTAATACTTTTGATAGCACTTTTGTTCAGTATTTTTATTTTGTTTGGAAATCATTCCAAGAGAAATCATAATAGCTATTTACCCCATATGAGATGAAGACATCATCAAGCTAGCTGATGCTAATGAAAGTACGATAACCCGTGATCCTTGACAACTAGCTCAATCCGTAAGAACGTACTTTTTTCCACTCACAAATCCTAAATTCAAACACATATGTTCTTGAAACTACATTTCAAAACAGGAACCCTAAATCCCTTTTTAAAAAACATGGGGAAAATACATTTAACAGCAATTTATAGTAATACTTTATTTCACAAAAAAACAAACTTTTCATTATTTTTCCCTACAAGTTCATATTATACAATTTTATCCTTTAAAAAAGTACTAATTTTTCTTAAATCCTAGCCAACATTCCCTAACAAATTGCTGTTGTAGTATATAAAATGTTACCTCTAGATCAGAAAGTCCACACATAGGTATAGTTTTCAAAACTATAGTACTTTTAAGGTATAGTGAACTCCCTATTCAAGTCTGCACCCAGGTATAGCAGTGTAACCCCTCTCTACAAAAAATTCAGTTTTGATTTTCCCTACACTCACACTTTTCCAAAGGTTTAAACAGCCTAAGCAGCATTTAGGTTATAACATTTTGCTACCAACCCCAGCGGTTACCATGAACCACTGCACCCATTAAGTACTGCAAAGGCACCTGTCAGCATGGTAAGACCATACAGTAGGTCTGTAGGTCAAAGAAGAGAAGGGGAGCAAAATATCCAATGTACCAGGGTAAGAATTACAACTGTATAAAATCGATAAACCAGAAAATTCAACTTCCATAAAATAATTCAGGAATACTGAATGCCCTTCGTAAATCTCCAACATGGGGTTTAGTGCACATGTGAAATGTCAGCATGAGTACATAAGAAATCTGTAACAGGGAACTCCCTGGCGGTCCAGTGGTTGGGACTTGGCGCTCTTACTGCTGGAGCTCAAGTTCAAACCCTGGTCGGGGAACTAAGATCCTGCAAGTTGTGCAGCGTGGCCAAAAAAAAAAACACCACCACGAAAAAAATAAAATCTGTAACAGAGGTTGATCAATGGGGTGAAACTAAGTGTCTGGCCTAGGGGTGGAAGACTTATTTTTTGAAGTAGTTTTGTATTTCTTGAATTATGTACCATGTCAAATATCTGATTTATTCAGATAAAATGTCTTACTTGCATCTTGTAAAACAAATGAGTTGGGAAGGACCACGTGTAATTTTAAAACTTCTGAGTGGTTTGTTATTAAAAATACTTGAATACATTTTCCCAAATATCTCAGCTATAGTTGAGACCAATAAAGTTATTCCTAAATTTTTTTTTCTAAAAAAAAATTTTTTTTAAGTAACTGCACCATGAGGCATGCGGGATCTTAGTTCCCCAACCAGGGATCGAACCCGTGCCCCCTGCAGTGGAAGTGTGGAGTCTTAACCACTGGACCACCAGGGAAGTCTCCCAGTAAGCTTATTCCTGAAGGGCTACAGATAAAGGAAATGTTTTTAAGCTGAAATATAACTTAAATCAACATGGGAAATTTTCCATATTAAAAAACTCTAAACCAAATCCCTTTTGAAAATGCAAATGATCACCATCTAATTTTACTTTGTACAGATTTCCCCCATATAATTTTTATTATTAAGATAGACAACTTTATTATTTTTAAAATGTCTTCAATAAATGATTTAAAAGAAACATATCAATATCTATAATAATACATGTTTTCTACTAACTATCATTCAGGCATTGTGGTACTTTGACTTTTAAATGCAAGGGGAGTGGCGAGTTCTCAAAAAGTAGCATCACTTGGATTTTTATACTTTTAACCACAAAATATGAAGATGGTATGCCAAATAAAGACTGCAGATGCTGATGGAGCATTATGAAGCATAAACAAGATACCTGATTCTCCCAATGAGAAAGAATCACTGATAGAAGCAAAACTTACATGAATCTCAGACATATTGTTGTGTGAAAGAGCCAAAACCAAAAGAGGACATATGTAGTAGGTTCCATCTATCTGAAATTCAAGAGTAGGTAAAAACTAATGTATAGCAAAAGAAGTCAGATTAGTGGTTACGGTTTGGGGCAGGAAGAATACTGACTGGGAGGATGCAGACGACGACCTGCTGGGGTACTGAAAATGTTCTACATCTTGATTTGGGTGGTGGTCACCTAAGTGTTTACATATGTAAGAATTCATCAAGCTGTCTACTAAAGATTTATGCACTTTCCTGTATGTCATATCAATATATCTGTTCTTCCTGCTTTGTTTTTTTCAATCGTCTTTTCCTAGGAGGAGAGAAAGATCATCTTGAAGAAAACTATTAACTCAAAGTTTTTCTTAATTCCCAAAAGAGAGGAATAACCATAAAGATCTACTAAAATTAGTCATTTAGCTTTTCTTCCGAATTAAAAAAAACAACACCACAAGATTTCTGAAAGAGTAAGACAAAATGAAATGGAAACAAAAAAGACGCAGACCAAACTCCAACCAAGAAGAATCTGCCTATGGCCATCTGCAGGGATGCTGAATTGACTTGAGTTTAGACAAGAGAGACTGTCTTCTAGGCACCTACTACAACTAGCTAATCAGTAATATCTATAAATGTTTCTGGAATCCAAAAGTTTCCTAATCTCTTAGACTATCTGCAGAAATTAGCTTTACAATTAGCAAAAGAAGAATTGAGTCAAAAAAATTCAAGATTAGGAATAATGTACCTAAATGATACATGGCCTCACCTCCTCGTATTTTTTAAATTTAAGAGAAACTCGAAGACTGCTTCTCGTAAGATGTCCTGTAGAAATGGATTAAGAAAAATATTCTGGTCTTCCCAAGTCATCATATCAGACAGAATCTACTGTAGGTCAAAAAACCTTAATCTCTATGAATATTCAGTGACTCCCTTGAATACATTCTTTGTATAAGAATATTTGATATAAATCAATTAATGATTTAAATACAAATATGATATTGTCCAAATTTTCTGTAATTAACAGACTTAAACTGATGCCCTCCAGATAGAGGACCAGAACTGCAAGTAGCAATTCTGAAGAAGGGCACATTGGGAGGAAAAGCAAAGAGAGCCTTCTCACCTGGTGTTTGTTTCTCACCATGTTTCCCCAGCTGGTCTTCTGGGCTTCTTGCATTCCCTCCTGAGGGAAAGCATCCATTAGATTTGTAGACTCTCTTCAGGTACTGGTGACAACCTTTTAAAGCACCTTTCAGATAACCCCAAATGCTAACAAATTCAAGTATTCCCTCTTCTGCCTAAAATAATCCTGAAGGGTCATTAAGAAATGGGAAGTTGCTTCCCTTTCCATTCAGGTGATGATGGAATATCAACACCTAGATGTTGTGCCTTCAAATGGCTCTGAAACCAGCTATGAAGGTGTCTAAATGAGGAAGGTTAGGATAATCACCTTGTACAGACTACTCCCCTATTCTGTTTTTCCAACTCAAGCCAACTTCTCCAGGTCAGGAGTACCAGCTGCTGCTCTACGATCACTTCTAGGCCTCTTGCCCTCTCTGATAAGGTACTAAGTAGAGAATGGTGCTGAAGCCCATGGAAACTCATCAAGTTTTAGAAATTCTTTGCAGAGTCCTTGGAGGTCTCAGTAGCTTCTAGGTCACAAGCTAGAAAGTATATTTCAGTCGACTTTCTAGCAAAAACTGTTTGTTTTCCTTTTTAAAGGTTAAATAAAGATCTAGGAATGGAAAAGATGTGCCCTGGAAATATTTCCCCAAGTGCTTAGCTAACGAAGATGAATAAGAACTTGGAATATTAACAGTATCTGCATATGTGTGTGTATGTGTTTGTACAGAGAAATTAGAATACTGCAAAATGATCTTTCAACATCTGCTAAACTATATTCTTGCCTCATGGTTCAATAAGTTTTCTAGGGATATTTACATTTAATCATTTCAGGCCATTCTCTACAATGATCCAATTTCTCTCAAATTCTCCAATATTAAGAACTCAAATTTCTTTCAAACAGATGAACCTTAACATGACCACTTCTTAGACGACAGCTTGTGAAGTTTAATAATTTGAGAAGACAGCATATAATTGGCTGCCCAAAGACCCTCATTTCATCTCTGCAGCTACCTCACCTTATTAGAAACCCAATTTCTGATAACAATTTTCATTTGCAAGTTGCATGTTCAACTCCATCGGGAGAGTAAGGATATTTTAAATCCCTCTGTTTTTAATAGGCTCTTTTGCAGATACTGACCAAGAACAGCAACACTCAATGATGAATATCACATTGCTCAAAAATAAGATACCGAAGATGTCAGAGCCAAGCAAGACCCAAGAGTGGAATCTAGAAAAGACAAAACCCTTCAGGAAACTGGTCCCTAAGTAAAACCAAGCAAACCTAAGTCCCAGTATACTTGTTCTTACCTGTAATTGGAATCAGTTTCCAATGTATTTCAGTCTCTTCAACATTATTTGACTTAGATTGTCTACGGAATCCACGTTCAATGGGAACAGTGGGACACAAACTGCAATCTTCAAAATTACTCATGCTAATTAAATTTGGATCCTAAAAATTAGAGTACAGATTCAATACCTTTCTTTTTAATTAATTTTAATGTCAAGAAAAAACAACTATTTTTTCACAGCAAATTTACAAACTTCAACCTGAACATTACAAGCAAGTAAAATCAACATGGTGAAGTTATAATGCTCTAATCTCAAACTAGAACATAATTTTTTCTCTCAAAACGTAATTGTTTGATTTACAGCAGAGGTTGGTAAACTTTTTCAGTAAAGCACCCAATATTTTAGGCTTTGGAGGCCAGATACTCAGCTCTGCCATTGAAATGCAAAAGCAGCCATAAGCAATACCTAAATGAATGGGCATGACTGTGTTCCAATCAAATTTTAGTTACAAAAATAGGCAGTGGGCTGGGTTTGGTCCATGCCCCCATCAACACAATTTAGAGTTTTAAATATGTCAGGAAATGGTAACAATATAGGTTAGTTTCTTAGTGCCTACCTTACACATGCCTCCAACTGAGATCCCTGTCTTCATCCTCCCCATAAAATAAATATCCCCAAACTACATGTAGGAAGCCTGGGGACATGCATATGACTTTAAAAAAAATTTTTTTCTTTTGGCTGAGCCACGTAGCATACAGGATCTTAGTTCCCTGATCAGGGATCGAACCCGTGCCCCCTGCAGTGGAAGCAGAGTCTTAACCACTGGACAGCCAGGGAAGTCCCATGATGCATATGACTTTTACTCAAAGACAGGGAAGAGAAAAATGGAAGAAAGTAAATTAGGAACAAGTTTTTAGGAACATGGTGCCATCCTGGTACAGTTCCCCAAGTGATGCAACCACTTCTTGGGAAGGGGGGAGCTGGGGAGATTAGGCTACTTCTCAGCTAGATATCAGTACTCTAAGCACCTATCATAAACTGGATGCCCTGTCAAGCATGGCTGAGGGTTACCTCAGAGGTAATCCTAAAGGCCACTCATTTTCCATTGCATGAGAAATACAAAGTATTTAACCTTGTTTCTAACTGGTACACTGACTTTGGTCACCTCATCTGCCTCACCTATGGGTTCTGGTACTGCCAGCAGAAAGCCAGTGTTTTGAGGACTCAATTTTATTATGAAATGATAGAGAATTAACTCCAGTAAGCCATTCCTGACAAATAGATGGTCCAGCCTTCACTTTAACACAATGGTAAATTTCAGACTACACATAAAGCTTATGAGCAGGAAGGAAAACACTTCTGCGTTTATCTCTGTGTAACAAGGAATAACTTAGAAATACTATCCTGCACAGACAGCATTACTGAAATGTGTATCATTTCTTTGTGAAAAGGAAAAACAAGCACATTCACCCTTTTTTTTTTAATTCTTAAAAAAATTTTTTGGCTGTGCCATGCAGCATGTGGGATCTTAGTTCCCTGACCAGGGATTAAACCCGTGGCCCCCTGCAATGGAAGCGCAGAGTCCTAACCACTGGGCCACCAGGGAATTCCCCCCACATCCTCCCCTTTCATACACACATTCACAAAAGCAAACAAAGATAACCAATAGATATAGGCTTACTTCTTTCAAATGTAGTTTATGGTCAGTACCTACTTCACTGGTAGAAACAGCAAGAGGATACTTTAAAGATGATGTATCAACTTCTAGCAGTGGGCTCTGAGTATCCTTAAAATGTGCACTTTCCATTTTTACACCAGTAGGCTGCTCATATTCTTTCTTATCCAGGGTAGAGTTCAACTCATATTCATGCTTTTGCCTCATCTCTTCATAGGCACCATCAGAGCTCAATCCTAAGGCCTTGTTGACTGTGTCTGTCAGGGATGCATCAGAATGACGTGCATTTGCTAGTGTTTCTGATAGCCAATTAAACAACCTATGGATGTCAGCAATGCTAGAGTTAGAGGTATCCTGCTGCTGCCGTCTCAAGTCAGCATCATGCCCAAGTGAGCCAACAGGCTGTGGAGACTCTGAAGGGAAAAGAGAAAGAGACATCTCTTAAAGTCTGGAAGGCAAGCATAAAAATTAATTATCATATAACATTTATAGGCAGGAACTCAATCAAACCACCTGCTTAGAGTTTACAGGTATATCCGTCCCTTACTTTCCAAATATGACTGGTTCTAAAATTTTGCACACAGGTCAAAATTCCCATTAAATGAAGGTTTATTTTCATCATAATTTGAAAATTCTATTAAAAATGAGCTCAAATATTATGTTGGTAATATGGATAATATATATAAATAACTGTACTGTAGTTACCTTAAACTCTATCACCAAAATCCTAAAATCAGTGAGGTACTTGACAACAGAAAAATACCTACACAACTATTTTGCAAAATGTTAGAGAAAGGTATGCAGATTACTCTTAAATCTTCTAAAAATATAAAAACAACAAAAACCCATGATTTTATCTGATTTTGATCTCTCCCATTCTGTACGTAAAATACTGGCTAACCTTTTCATAATCTAAGCTTTATCTTAAATGACTAGATTACTTAATTCATAACAAAGCTGAGATATTAGAGATACAAAATCACCCCAAAGAAATCTACACCAATCTTGCACTAAGAACAAAAAGGACTATGAGAGAAAACATGTTAGACATGGCTCCAAGCAGGTATAAATCTGGGTTATCTGCACCACCAGTATATTTAAAAACTTGCAAAGGGAGGAGACATTCAGAAAGGCATGTGCTTTAATGCTGAAGGAGGGTAGAGCCAGGGTAGATATCAGGATTCCGATTTAGGTAGTGTATATGTACCACAGGCAAAAAAAAAGTTAGAAACAACAGGGTACATACTGTATGATTCTAATTATATGAAATTATAGAGAAGGCAAAATAATCTATAGAGACAGAAAGCAGATCAGCGGTGGAGTGGAATGAGATAAACTACAAAGAAGAACAAGGCAACATTTGGGGGTAATGAAAAATGTCCTATATATTGGAGTAGTGGTAACACAGCTATAAAAAAACTCATTAGACTGTGCACTTAAAATGAGTACATTGTATATAATTCATACTTTAAAAAGTTGATGTTAAAGGCAGTAGGGGAGACAGAAGGCTACCTCTTAATGAGTGGGCTCACCACCAAATCAAGATCAGAATGTTTTAAAAGTTAGAATCTAACCTTTAAATCTCTACTTTCAGGATCAGAAATAAAGTGTGCAAAATGATAAGAAACAAACACAAGTGAGGAACACCTAGATATGCAACTCTGACTATCACTAGTTCTACTTTAACCTATCTACCCCTTTTCCCCTGCCCCATTTCTCCTTTGGTCTATTATAACCAGCATAGCTTTCCCACCATTTTAATTACTGATAAAGCCCGATTTCCACCCACAAATATTTTTTCACACATACAAATTTGCCAATTATCAGCTAAAACGGTGCCAAAATTTAAGTACCTTGCCTATTATGTGTTCAGTGCTAGGAAATATAGCTGACTTTAGGAACAATGTTTGGAGTTAGTCAGAAGTGAGTTCAAACATGGATCAGTGAACTCATAACTTTAGGTAAAATTATTTAACTTCTCTGAGATGGCTTCCTCATCTGTAAAATAAGGATAATAATGTCTACCAATCAAGAACTAAATGAGTCCATACATGTAAAGCAGCTAGCACATAGTAAGCACTTAACTCTCAAGACACAGGTCAACAGTATTAGACAGTATGGATCAGTAAGCACCGTCAGGTTCAGCACAGAGCAGAAATCCAGCATAAGCTAAAGGAGATGAAAACCATCAAGGAGGAGAACAGCCAGAAAGCTAAGGAGGGTTATGAACTGCAAAGATATGAGCCTTGAGAGAAATGAAAGATGCTTCAGGAAAAAAGAAAGAAGTAAAGGGCTGACCATGACATGTTCTGAGAAAAGTGCCTTAACCAAGGAGAGTGGGAAACATGGCTACCCAGGCTGGACGTGGCCAGTCTTTAACAAAGCCTTGAAAAACGAATACAGAAGCTGAGATTGGCAGCAAAAGTTCCTTTATAAAAACAGGGGACTGCCTAGATTGGCTCTCAGGCTATAATTAGCAAACCCTTGTATGAGGAGAAAGGACAGAACTACTTTACTATGTTTTTGGTTGTTACTTTTATACTATATAAAAACAATTCTGATATTTTACCTTCATACAGATGGCAATTTTCAGATAAATTACTGGTTTTGGCGAGCTTTCTCATATTTTCAGGTAGATCCTCAAGTTTCCTCTTCAAGACAGTTTTGCTTCTCATATCTTCTTTGTCTGAGTCCCCACCCACATTTTTTTTCCTACACTGAATTAAATTAATCAATTCTTTGACTCTATCCTTATCATAATCCGAAGAGTGAGATGACTTCTGCTTTCCAGGTGTAATAGTTTCACCCCTTGAGTTAGTTCGTTTTCCGAATTTCATTTTTGTACCATTCATTTCTTCTTCTTGGCCTTCATAATCTGAAAGTGGACTAAACTGTTGAAGTTTTCTATTTTCTTCAAATAGCTCTTTTAATTTATAAATAGGTAACTGATACATTTCAGGCCGAAAAATATAGGTATGCAAACAATTATCAATATGGGATTTATTTCTTGGAGCTGAATATAAAAATTTTTTATCATCTAATCGTGAATCATATGGAAACATGATAAACTCTCGTTTACCTGAACCAAAACCTCGCTTAAAAAATTCACTTACATACTTTTCAACAACAGAATGAAAATTTATAGTATTTATATTTTTGAATTCCTTTCGACACTGAATCAAAGCAAACTGTAAAAATTGAGTTATTTTTAATACATCTGGTATGCTCTCACGTCTCTCCTGTGGTGCTGCACTGGTTGAACCTTTCTGTGCTGTAAACAAACAAAAAAGCAAACCATGTTAGCAATCAAGAAATTAGTCAAGTACAGATCTACATATTGTCAAAGCAATGTAACAACATCCATACATTAATGGTGGACCAAACCAGTATGTACCCTAATACATATATGTTATATAGGGATATATGAAAAGCATGCTTCTAAGCCCAGGAGCCTAAAATGGGCCAATAAGAAATTAAAACATGAAAACTGCAGAACATATTTTTAAAGGGAAAAACACCTGCCCGTTGAAGATCTTCTTCATGTCCCTAGGCATCAACTGGTGGCAAGGAAAATGTAAGGAGAAATAAAGACCTGAGGCTCCTAGCAAGACCGTCCAGCAAATGACAGTAATATCACTCCTTCCTGTTTTAACAACTTTATCTCTATCTCTCTATTCCCGTAAGCAGATATGTAGGCACTGAATGGCTACCACTGAGAATCTCATTTTTTTTGGCCGTGCCACGCCGCTTGAGGGATCTTAGTTCCCCCGACCAGGGACTGAACCCGAGCCCTCGAAACTGAAAGCATGGAATCCTAACCACTGGACCACCAGGGAATTCCTGAGAATTTCATTTTTAACCTAACAGTGAGAACTTTACCTTAAGACAGCATTAAAGTTCATTCTTAGAAATGGTGAATAGAAATGGTGTTCTCTAAAACAGTATGAAAATTCTTATTAATTGTGAATGGCCTAATATTTAACCTAGCACATGATGCACTTAGTCACTAAAATGTGAATACAAAAATGAACTAAGCTCAAAAAAAAAAAACATATAATAGAAACCCTGAAAAACTAAGCTATAATACTGTAACAATTACAATCAACATTTACTTAGTGAAAACACTGACAAAAACCAGATAATTTTTCATAGTTAAAAAAACAAGTCATATAATTTGTGTTTTATATTGCTAACACCTCTTAATACCCCCATTATCTCCCAAAACATGACGTAAGAAAGACAAAATGCTTAGTGAGTTATCTGGAAATTTTCAATAAAATGTTGGTATCTATATGTAAATGGATTTAGATATTCAAAGAACTTACAAGTAACTATGCCTCTAGGTTCTTGAAATAGAAACAAAGCATGTAAGACTCGAGACTTAGCAGTATGATGTTCTAAAAAAACAAAAGTGAAATTCATTAGCAATATATTTTAACTTTTAAAAAGTTAAAGGAGAATTATAAAAATTAAAGAGAAGATCACCTACCATATGGAGAAACCATTTGACAAGGAGAGAGAAGAAAAAGGTATCCTCGGTCTCCCAAAGGTTTAACAAGAACCTACATTTTTGGAAGAGGGAAGAAGTTGAATTTGCATTATTATTCACCATAAGGCAGAAACATAGCAGTTTCTACTAATTATAAGGAAAGCAAAAAGTTTCTGATCATCTTTTTAGGAAAAGTACTGCTAGTGAATTAGCTAAAAAACTCTTTCCACCAACCCTCTGCTCATTAACAGGATTCCAATCAATTAAGAAAGCCTTAGTTTTCATAATTTTAATGAGAAAATATTACTGAAAGAATTCTCCTATTAAATCAACTTGTTGATTTTTCCTTGAAGCTAAAATACAAGAACCAAACAAAAACTTCAAATATTTTCCTCAGCAATTCAAAAGACATGTTTTTAATTGCCAAGGTGGTGTGCTGGATGTTGGAGATACAAAACAAGTATGACACAAATGCTACCTTTCAAGAGTTCAGGCTAATCTCAAATGAAATGTGTTGCTGTAATCTAATTCTTCACATATTTAATGAACATCTTTCACACGCAAGGCAATTTGCCTTACCAGAGATAACTTGAAAGACAAGCAGCACAAGATCCTTTGATCAAAAGAAGGTTATAATTGGGTGGAGAAAGTAACACAAGAAATATTAATAATTAGATAAGACAGGAAAGGTCTTTAAAAGATTTACAAAGCAACAGAAAGGAAAAAATACAGTTAGTCTATGGTTGGAAAACATATTGAGAGTATATGGGAGGTGGATTTTGAAGGATGGCTACATTGCCAAGAGCCTAAAGTTGTGGGAAAGACATTTCAATAGAGGCAACGTCATGAACAAAGGGCAGAGTTATAACATAATGGACAGTTTGCAGGCATCAGAGTACTTACGACTGGCCAAGGGTGAGGAGAGACTAGGAGAAACATGTAAGACAAGTCTAGAAAGAAAGATCATGGGCTAGATTGTAAAAAGACAAGAATGCCAGGTTAGCCAGAAATGCCCTCGAGAGTATACCCTTTTGAGCTGAAGTGTTTCCCTAAAAAAAAACCCAAAGAAACTTGATAGCACTGCAGGAGGAAAGAGAACAATGTAATGCAAAGAACTCAGTTCACAGACTACTGCAATAGTTCACAATATTTTTTGGATTAAAGAAAGGGTAAGTAAAGGAAGAACTGAGTATGGCAGCTAAACACAAAAGGATATCTGGATTCTGAAAGAAAACTTGTGCTACCTAAATTCCTTTTAAACAATTCCAGTAAACAAAGTCTGTGTAAGAACCAATAATGTAAAGGACTAAAGTGACTACGCTACCAATTTACACTTAATAAAAACATTGTTTGAACACCCAAAAGTAAGGTGGACAATGTATCTGCAAAATTTTTGTTTCAGACTCAAACCCTTTTATCCAAAATGTTTTATGTATCATATCTCTTCTAACATTTTGCCCAACTCTTGTTGATTTGTCAGAACAGAAAGTTGGGAGACATGAGTAAGAGCTTCATGTTTTGTGGTTGCTCAGAAAAAAAACAATTAGATTATTTTAACTTCTCACCCACTCCAAATACCAGATTCTTTAACCTGACTGGCTTAGTGGCCTAAAGACCCTAGTGCGCTAAGGGGACTCAGTGTCCCCAGAGAGTCATGGAACACAGGGAATCTATACCCAGAAACAACACTCAGGCAGACAGAAGCCCTAGCAGTAATATCTGTGGCTTTAAGCCAAAGAAACACTTTCAATCCTGTGCAATAGGAAACACCTGTGAACTCTGTACTGATGCCTCTATTTATTACCCCTTACTGTTTCCTTCTCCCTCAGAAAACAACACTAGCCCAGTCTGTGGATTTATATTACTTGATTCTACTATTTTGGCTTTGCAGATAACATTACAGGTAATATGGTATGAAAACAAAAAGTATTTTTTAAAAATGTAAAATATTAAGCTCACAATCTTAAATTACCAAGTTTCAGAGAAAATAAGCTACCCTAAGAGAGATTCAGCAAAAACAATAGATTCAAATACCCAAGGGCTGCAGATTGGAATCAAAAGATGCAATATATAAAACAGGTATGAAATGTTCAAAGAAATAATATGGCAGAACTGAAAACATGTTCACACAGAAACTGTCATACAAATATTCACAGTAGAAATATTCTTAATAGCCAAAGAGTGGAACCAACTGATGAATGGCAAACAAAATGTGACATTATCCATACAGTGAAATAAAAGAAATGAAGTACTGATACATGCTACAACAAGGATGAACCTTAAAAGTATTATGCTAAGTGAAAGAAGGCACTAAAGGCTACATAGTGCATGATTCCACTTATATAAAATGTCCACTATAGACCAATCCATAAGAGAGAAGAGATTAGTGGTTGCCAGGGACTGAGGGGACGAAGGAATGTGAAGTGAATGCTTAGTGGGTATGAGGTTTCTTTCTGGAGTGATGAAAATATTCTGGAATAAGATAAGTGGTAATGGTTGCACAACATTGTAAATCTAGTAAAAACCACAGAATTGTACACTTTAAAACGGCTAAAATGGTGATGCAATTTTAAAAAATAGCAAGGAACATCAGAATATAATCTCTACCTCCTAGAACAGTCACTGGTACACAACAGGTACTCAATAAGTCTTTCTGAAAGAATTAACAAGAATCTGTTTTTTTAAAAAAAAAGTCAGGCAGACCTCAAAAAGAACCAAATATAGCTTTCAGAAATTAAAAATATTTTCTGTGAAATCGAAAATCAACAGCAAATTAGACACAACTAAAGACAGAATTTGTAATCTAGAAGATAGCTATGATGAAATTACTCAGAATGCAGTACAAAGGAATAAGACAGAAAACACAAGAGAGGTTAACAGACACTGAGAACAGCATGATGCTTCAGAGTCCTAGAAAGGCAGTCAAAAAAGAGTGAAGAAGTATAATCACAGAGATAATGACTAACAATACTCCAGAAAAAAAGCTATAAATCTACAAATATGAAGACAATATATACCAAGCTAGATAAATAAGAAATCTACACCTAGATATATTTAATGTAACTGCAAAACGCCAAAGAAAAAGAAAAAACTGAAAAAACAACCAGAAAAAAAGATGATCTACAAAGAAAACATCATTAGACTAAGAGTGGACCTCTCAACAAAAATAGAAGCCAGAAGATATCACAGTAAATACAGTCAAAGTGCTAAGAGATAATAGCTGTCAACCCAGAATTATGTCCCCAGGATTTAACATTTAAAAAAAACACATTTTTCTCAAATATAGAGGGGGCATGTACAAAAACTGACCACAGAGTTTTGTTTTTTTTAATCCCAATAAATTTCAAATAATTACCTGTTCTGATTTCAATGGAATTAAATTAGAAGAAAAAAGTGTTCTCATACATTTGGAAATTTGAAAATATTCCTGTACATCATATGACAAAGTGGAAATCATAATGGAAACTAAAAATTACTTAGAACTGGATGATAATGAAAATACCACATATTAAAATATGTAGGGCTTCCCTGGTGGCGCAGTGGTTGAGAGTCCGCCTGCCGATGCAGGGGACATGGGTTTGTGCCCCGGTCCGGGAAGATCCCACATGCCACGGAGCGGCTGGGCCCATGAGCCATGGCCGCTGAGCCTGCGCAGCCGGAGCCTGTGCTCCGCAATGGGAGAGGCCACAACAGTGAGAGGCCCGCGTACCGCAAAACAAACAAACAAACAAACAAAAAAAAACCATGTAGAATGCAGCTAAAGTAGTACTTAGAACTCAAGTTCACTGCCCATTTTTCTAACATAGTAAGTCAGAAACAGCTAAATAACACCGCCCCCCAAGTAGACTAAAACTGACAGCTGAAATTAATAAAACAGGAAAACAAAGGTACAAAGGATCAAAACCAAAATTTGGTTCTTAAGATGAATAAAATCAAGAAACCTCTGGTGAAAAGTACTAGTAAGAGACAGCCTAATGAAAATACTACTTGCAAAAATACTCACAGCAGCTATTAAAAAAACTATAAAAGTAATTCTAGCTCAATAAATTTAAAAACATAGAATGGACAATTTCCTAAAGAAAAAAACAAAAAACCCCATAATATATCCAGACTGACCTGAGAAGAAATAGAAAACCTGAGTTTTCTATTAAAAAATTTGAATCATAAACCCATAAACATTTTAAAGACAGTTTTGCAGCTAAGTGCTACCCGACATACGAAGAATAGATTCCTTTCATCATATATACATCCATCTTTTGTAAAATGAGGAAACACCACTTACAATTCTGGGAAGCTAGTATAACCTTGCCATAAAAACTAGATAAGGACAATATGAGAAAGAAAAATTGTAGGTCGATCTCACTCATCATCACAGATACAAAATTCCTAAACAAAACATTCACACAACAAACCAAGTATTTTTAAAAAATGGGGGAAGGTATTCTAAAGCCAGAAGCACAGGAATAGTTTAATACTGAAAAAAGATAAATATAATTCATCTTATTAAGTTTACAGGATAAATACTATTCATGATGATAAATTTTATGTGTCAACTTGACTGGGACACAGGGTGTCCAGATATTTGGCCAAACTTCATTCTGGATGTTTCTGCAGGTATTTTTGGATGAGTTAAATATATATACATGTGGATAGACAGAGTAAAGCAGGCTGCCTTCTCCAATGTGGGTGAGTCTTATCAGTTGAAGGTCTGATTAGAACAAAAAGGCTGACCCTCCCTGGAGTAAAGGGAAATTCTTCTTGCCTGCCTGCCTGCCTTTGAGCTGGGACACTGGTTTTTCTCTTGCATTTGAACTCTAAGTGAAATATCAGCTCTTCCTGGCCTCAAGCCTGCCAGACTTCATCAGGAGACATCAGGTCTCCTGGTCCTGAGACACCTGGATTCAGACTGCAGCTATGCCATCAGGTCTCCTGGGTCCCCAGCTTGCCAACTGCAAATCTTGGGACTTTTCAGCCTCCATAACTGTGCAAGGCAATTCTTTATAATAGATTTCTTTCTATATGTATACAGCTGACCCCTGAACAATGTGGGCATTAGGAACCCCCATGCAGCTG